TTTGGGAGAGCATAGTATCTCCCAGAGCCCACCCTCTTATCTAATAAACATTTATTAAATACTAACTCCAGGCCTTAAAAACACAAAAGTACATATGACCCGTTCCTGCTCACTCAACTTACAAGATGTACCTGGGGATGGGAGAGAGGGGCTGGAAGTGGAGAACTGTCTTACTGTTGTCATCTAATTATGTGATTTGTCTTTGCTCCCTTCTATGCTCTTCTCCCTTCCTTCCTTCCTTCCTTCCTTCCTTCCTTCCTTCCTTCCTTCCTTCCTTCCTTCCTTCCTTCCTTCCCCCAAGGATATTTTTCCATTGATTTCTAGATAAAGTGGAAGGGAGGGTAAGAGAGAAAAAGAAATGCCTATATGAGAGAGATACATTGATTGGTTGCCTCCAACACGACTCCAAATGGGGCTGGAGATTGAACCTGCAACCCAGGTATGTGCCCTTGACCGGGAATCGAACCCAAGACCCTTCAGTTCAAGGGCCAATGCTCCAACCACTGAGCCAAACTGGCCAGGGCTCATCTTGTTTTCTTTTCTTGGAAAGAAAGAACACATGGTGTCTAGTGCCCAATTACATTGTAAAGAGCTACCTATGGTTCCCAGCTGGTCCCACATCGCCAGAACCACTACTTCATGGACAGAGCTGTCCTTTCCATGGTCTAACGCCGTCTTCTGTGTGGTTTGCAGATCATAAAGATCCTTAATTCCTACACGCCTATAGATGACTTCGAGAAAAGAGTGACTCCGTCCTTTGTTCGCAAAGTACAGGTGAGATCCTTAAGAAAGTGCCTTTTACTATTTAGTACAAGAAAGGGATAGTTAATGAACATTGTAGAAATCCAGGATTAAAGTACCTTCACCAAATATGCATCTAAAAGTCACCCAGAAGAAGCAGCAAGAATGTTCCCTGTCAGATCCCCTGGTTTTCAGAACCCATGTTGGTCTGGGAAAGGGGAGCGAAAACACGAGAGGTGACTCCCACTCTTTGTTCCTTCAGCGGGTCTTGTTTCTTATCAGCCTTTGTGTGCTATGCACGTGGGCAGGGGCTGGATGGAAACAGAGACCTGTGTACCCATCTTCCTTATTTTAATCCCAAAAGTTTCTTCCCCAATGAACCAGGGCAGCAGTTCTCAGAATTTGGTTCAAGGATTCCTGAGGGGCCTTGAGACCCTTTGGGGAGGTCTGCAAAGTCTTCCTTTTTCCAGTTACATATCTGTATGAGACCATCTTTTTTCCTTATACTTCAGCCACAATTACAAATCACAGTAGGTTGAATGTAGAAGCAGATCTGAGATTCCACCCATCATATGAAGTCAGACATTTAAAAGATTTGTAAAAATATAAGACAATACCACTTCTCACTAATCATTTGTTTTCAAAATATAGTTATTTTTTTTCTGTAAAAATACATGAACAAGTGTTGGGTTTGTTCTTGTTAATTTAACGAATGAACACATTTTAAGTTAGTGCTTTAATTACTAATATGGTAAATATCAATAGTGAAACCCACAGGCACAGAGGCTGTGGGAGACCTCAATAATTTTTAAGAGTATACAAGGTGCCTGAGACCAAAGAAATGTGCAAACCACCGAATTAAAAGAAAGATGAGTGTGATAAAAATGCAGTGCCTGAGATCTACTCATCTTTGGGCTTAGAATTCTGCCATGAGAATAGATGAGAAGAGGACACGTTGATTTAGTTCATCCATCCTGTGGGAAGTAAACTCCTGGAGTGAGACAGAGCAGGAACTTTTCACGAGAGCAGAAGTCCTGGCTCGCTCCCTCGCCTTGGAGTTGGGCTGCTAACAAGCTCCTGTGTGTGTATCTCACATGCTTTAGAAAGGACTGCCTTGCCAGAGGCAGAGTGGTGTCTTCTTGACTCCTGGCTTCCAGGGAGGAGTAAAGCAACACCCATTTCCTCATTCATTTTCCTCTGCTTCTCACTCAGGCTCTCCTCAACAGCCGAGAGGACTCGGGACAGCTGATGCTGGACACCAGCTACCTCTATCAAGTCGTGTTTCCGTTCACCCCGTCTCCCCACGCTCTGGAAATGATCGAGATCCCCAGCAGTTTCAAGCTAGGCTTTCTCAACAGGTTATAGCCGGAGAAGAGAGTATATGTGCTTTGCCCTCCAAAGCTAAATGAAGGTCAAAGAGGAGGGCTGCGGTTTATCATTGGAACTGGAAATGCTCCAGTATGCTATTTAAGGAAGAAAATAAGAATTCTCCCAAATAGGCCACATCTCTCGCTCACAGTGGTGGTGTGGCTACTGTCATTTTGCAAAAATTAACACACGCCAGCTGTGGCCTTATCTAGCTTTGGAATCTCTGCTGGCTTTTACTAGAATTCTTGGAAGCTCATGTTTTCTTCCAGGGGTCTCTTGGTCTCGATCTATCTTATGACAGGACTCTACCCATAGGGGCATAAGATCCGGGGACACAGTGTCTCCCAAATTTTCTAAGGTTCATGTGAAGCCTGAGAACATATATGAAGCCACAGTGGGGTCCAAGGCTGAATCTTCCAGAGAATAATCCCATTTGGCTACAGAAGCCAAAGGTCCTCTCACCCCGTGCCTGTCTGTAGGGGAGGGGTTGTGGGGCCCCACGGACTCTTTACTAAAAATGCTCTGAATGAAACAATATTTATTATTTCAGACCCTTCTAATTTTTAAGAGAATATTCTATCTGAAATGAATCACATGAAGTATTTTATATATATATATTTAAAACCAACATATTCCTAAAGCGTAATTGCCATACCATGTATCATCTTCTCCTCCAAAATAACATTTCTTTAAATATTTGCCATCATTTTTGTTTACTATCTTTCATACAATAATTTTTAAAAACTAACTTTAAAAAGACAATCTAGCCTGGCCGGTGTGGCTCAGTGGTTGAACATAGACCCATGTACCAAGAGGTCGCCAGTTCGATTCCCTGTCAGGGCATATGCCCAGGTTGAGGGCCCGATCCCAGGTGGGGGCATGCAGGAGGCGGCCAATCAATGTTCTCCCTCATTGATGTTTCTATCTCTCTCTTCCTAAAAAAAATCAATAAAGAAAAAAAAAAGACAACCTAAATGATTTTCTCTATCTTATTAGCATTCAAATATGTATTAAATTTTTTTCATTAAAAAAAAATAGCCTTGGCTGGTTTGGTCCAGTGGTTAGAGCATCGGCCTGCAGTCCAGAGAGACCGGGGTTCAGTTCCCACTAAGGGCACGTACCTCAGTTGCAGTTTGTCCCCGGCCCTGGTTGGGTTGTGTGGGTGGCAGCCACTCGATGTGTCCCTTTCACGTCGATGTTTCTCTCTCTCTCTCCCTCCCTCCCTCCCACTCTATCTGAACAAAAAAATGGAAAAGTGTCCTCAGGTGAGGATTAAAAAAAAACACAAAAACTGAAGAATTACGTTAGGTCCCACCTTTTGAGAAGTCGGTGTTTCCCAAGTTTTATGGGAACTGACTATTCCTTGTCCCCCAACACCTTCTCATTCCTTCCTCTCAGATCGTGAAATGACGTTTGATCAGCACTCCTAGCCTGTGGCCTGTGGCCCCACTGCCCTTTGCAACACCCCAAGAATCCCAACTGGCCCTTTGGTTTCTGACAGAGTCACAGGCAATAGGAGTGATTCTGTAACACAGACATATATATTAGAAGTGAAATGAAGCAACATTATCAAACTATATGTAATAATGTCTTTTCATATTGTAATTTTCATAAGTAATTTAATTTAGTTCACTTAGATACATTGTATGTGAAGAAATGAAAAGTAGAACTTTGTAATATTTTAATCAATCAAATAAATTCCCATATCAATTGGGTCAGGTTCTTTTAATTGTTATGAGATTATATTTTTCTTAAGTACACAAGTTTTAATGCCATTTTTAAGGGTCATACTTAAAGATTCTGGAATCTTTATAGAGTCATACTATCTCATAAAATGTATATTAGAACTCTTAGAGCCCAACCGGTGTAGGTTGAGCATTGACCCATGCACCAAGAGGTCGCCGGTTCGATTCCCGATCAGGGCACGTGCCCAGGTTGTGGGCCAAATCCCCAGTGGGGGGTGTGCAGGAGGCAGCCAATTGATGTTCTCTCTCATCTATGTTTCTATCTCTCCCTCCCTCTCCCTTCCTCGCTCTCTGAAGTCAATAAAGAAAATTAAAAAAAAAAATTCTTGGAAGGTAAATATGCCCTAAGTCCTGGCTCGGGCTGCATCTCCGTGGGGCTCCCAGACAGTGCTGGGTTTCTGATCCACACCATGGCCTTCTCCGTACCCCTCCCGGACCTTCCCTGTGCCACGGGGAGCCCATCTCTCTCTCTTTAGCTCCCACAACTCAGGGTTCCTGCCTGTTCTAAGCACATGTGCTCGCTGTGAGCCGTAACGTTGCCCATCTCTGCTGGCCTGTGAGACCCTGGAGAGCAGGCTCACATCTCCCATCCCCGCTCACCTTGATGCTGCCGGGGCGGGAGGGAACTGCAGGAACGAAGTCCTACTGGAGGTGACAGGGCTGGGGGAGTGATGTTGCTCAGCCCAGGGAAGGAGTAGATCTTGTTAGGGAACAAGACGCGGACCTGCAGAGGCTGAGAAGTGTATGCATGGAAAAGGGGAAGGGGGTGGTCCTCATCCCACAGGCTCGATCTGTTTAAGGCTGAAGGTGGGTGGGGTGCCCGAAATTAATGAAGTGCTGGTGGGATGGGGACTGAGGAGACTGGAGGTGCTGATAACATCCAGTCACAGGTGAATGTCAAGGTCGTGGATTCACGTGGTCAACCCTGTGAACTCTGCTTTCTCAGAGGGCAGACAGAGAACTAAGCCTGAGAAACTGGTCAGCAGGGGGTTCTGAGGGCAACTGACAGTGTGGATGGCAAAAGGTTCAAGGGGTGAGTACGTGATGCGAATGGCAGTGCGTGGCCAGCAGCGAGCCCGGGCCGCAGGTGGGCAGGGGCCAAGCAGCTCAGCCGCGAGCCCGGGTAAGGAGATTAGACGTGTTGCAATCCCTTTGGCACCTTGCAGCTGGCAGCTCCAACTTCTCGCCTTTCTGCTGATCGGTTCCAAGTGTTAACTCTGGGAGGTATGTATGTATTAACATTACATTAGAATAGTCAGGCTTTCTTAAGCGCTCAGAACAGTGTTCAGAAGTGTACGCAGCGAGGTGTTAACCGTGGTCTGTGTGGTGAGAGCGCAGGTGAGGGCTGCCCTGTTTGTCAACCTGTACGCTCTGATTTTGCTACAATTCACACGCATTTCCTTTGAAATACTGTTTTGTTTTTAATATATATTTAGTATTGGCATCAGGGAAAAAGTTAATTATCTTTAAAATTGTTTAATCAGTTTTAAAAATTGATCCAGGTCACACGTCTACATCAGCCTCTGAGTGTGGCTTTGAAAGAGGTCATGGAATTGAAGGAGGTTTTTGACACTAAACATTAGTCATAGTGAGTCGGAGGTACAGCCACTCTGTCACGTGTGCCAGTAGTTTATTCTTTTGTATTGATGAACATATCATAAGTTAGTTATCTAGTCTGCTAGTGATGAACATTTGGGCTTTTCCAGTTCAGAGCTATCATGAATCTGCTATGGCATTATTATTCTTATCCCCCCTCCTCAATTTATATTTTCTACAGCAAGAAGGTCCAGTTATCCACATCCTTGCCCACACTTCAGATTTTATTTTTTATTTTAGATATTCTAATAGGTAAGTAATGATATCACAATGTGATTTTAATTCTTTTCTTTGATGACTAATGAGGTTGAGCTTTTTATATGTTTATTGAACATATGAATATCTGCATTGGGAAGTGTTTGTTCATATCTTTTGCTCATTTAAAAGATAATTTTTATTGAGATATAATGCACATAACGAAGAACTCACTATCTAATTCTAGAGCATTTTCATCACTCCAAAAATGAAACCCCATACCCACTAGGCAATCACTCCAAACCCCTCCACCTCACCTCCCCTGCAACCACTCATCTACTTTCTGTCTGGATTTTCCATCTTAGACATTTCATATAAATGGAAACTTAATTTGTGGTCTTTGTATCTGGCTTATTTCACTTCACATAATGTAGCACATATCAGAACTTTATTTTTTTATTGTCAAATAATATTCTACTGTATGGATATACCACATTTGTTTACCATTCATTAGTTGATAGACATCTGAGTTATTTCCACTTTTTTGACTTAAATGCTGCTACAAACATTCATGTACAAGTTTTTTGTTGTTGTTTTTTCTTTATTGATTTTAGAGAGAGAGGAAGGGAGAGGTAGAGAGAGATAGAAACATCGATAAGCGAGAACATTGGCCGCCTCCTGCATGCCCCCCACTGGGGATCAGGTCCACAACCTGGGCATGTGCCCTGACTGGGAATTGAACCAGCGACCTCTTGGTACGTGGGTTGATGCTCAACCACTGAGCCACACCAGCTGGCCTCATGTACAAGTTTTTATGTGAACATGTGTTTTCAGTTATCTTGGGCATAGACCTAAGAGTGGATTTGCTGGTTCACATGTAACAACCCTGTTTAACTTACTAACTGCCAAACCGTTTTCCACAGTGACTACACCACTTTACATTCCCACCAGCAAACCATGAGGGTTCTTTTGCCCATTTTTTTTTTTGTATGTGCCCCTAGCGGGAACCGAAGTTGGGACTCTCTGGTCTGCAGGCCGACGCTCCAGCCGCTGAGCCAAACCATTCAGGGCTCTTTTGTCCATTTTTAATTGGGCTAATGAAGCATTATTTTGAAAGTAAAAACTGAAGATATCTTATATATTCAACAATAGGAGATTGGTTTAACAAATTATGACACTCCATAGTATAGAATAATACTAAAGCAATTAACACAAAAACAGATGGATCTAAAGTACTGACAGAATGAGTTAGGTGAAAAAGACAAGTAGCAAACAGCCCCTTGGGTGTAACTGACGATGCTCTCTCTAAGGTGTCAGAAAAGTCTGGAAGATGCACCCCAATCTAAACAAGGGGAATGAGTGCCCACAGGCAATGGCGACTTTCACTTCTGACTTTCTATCTTTGGCATGAAACTTTTTTAAAAAATGTGGGGTGGTTTGGGTAATATTTAATCCATATATTTAGGTAAAACATTTTTTAAAAGTATTGTGATTGGTTTAGGACTAGGGGAAGGTTTGAGAAGGTCTATGAACTTTTTCTACAGAGCAATTTCCCTTCCAAAATGGTTAAAATTGGGCATTTTTATCTTTTCCTTGTCAAAATGCTCATAGAAGCATATGCGCCCGCTGTGAGAAGTCCCCCATCATAAAAAGGATTACTGACAATGAGCACAGTGGAATCTACTGAAATTTAGCTTGTGATTTAAATACTAGATGGAAAACATCAGGATATAAAAATAGAAACAGTGTACATGAACAGATTGTCCTAAACATCTGTCTATTCCTGCGTCCACCAGATGTGGAGAGGAGTCTCTCTGGGCAGTGAGATTTTAGACGATTCTTTTCTTCCTCACACCTTTTTTATTTTTTCCAAACTTTCTACAATAACCATGTATTACAGTTGTGGTGTTGAAATACTACAGTCTTTCACGTTTGGTTTGTAGCTTACCCATGCTTAACCCACCAGATCTAAAGTGCTAGTTATATGGTGTGATTTAAGGTTGATATGACTCAACTTGTGGTCTCCATTAAAATATGGTGTTTTCCAAGAATATGCAATGACATGTGAAGACAAAAACACTGTTCAGTAAAAAATTATAGTTGAATATTGTATATGGCATATAATTCTAAGTTTTAAAAAGGTATGCACATGTCCTGGCTGATTTTGCTCCATGGATAGAGCATTGGCTCTCAGACCCAAGAGTCACAGGTTCAATTCCCAATCAAGGGCACGTACCTCAGTTGCAGGTTTGATCCCTGGCCCAGTCAGGGTAGTGAGGGAGGCAACCAATCAATGTGTCTCTTACATCAATGTCTCTCTCTCTCTCTCTCTCTCTCTCTCTCTCTCTTTCTTCCTCCCCTCTCCCCTCCTTCCTCCCTCCCACTCTATCTAAAAATCAATGGAAAAATATACTTGGGTAACATAGAATGCTAACAGAGGTCAATTATTTTTCAGTATAGAGCATGTACGTGATTAATTTTCTTTTTCGTGTTCATCTGTTTCCAATTATTTATAATGAACATAGGCAGCTCTTATAATTTGAAAAACAAGATCAGGTTGGGAAGGAAAACATTGTCTCTAACCAGATTTGGAATATTGACGATTTTTTTTACTTCTCTTCTTGATCTTCCATAACTCCTAGCCTCCTCCTATTCCTTCTCCGTTTGGCTTTCATTCCCCTGGCCTGTCATTCCTGCGTTGCTGCTGTCCAGAGCTCATTTCCTCGCCCCCAGAACGCGCTACCAGTCTCTCAATGTAGGCGACTTCCCTGCTGTACATTCTGTCTCTGACCTACTTCTGGAGGCACAAATGCTGGATAATCCGCGTGGATGACTTTGCTCCCTGGTGAGAAATCCGTGGTGTACCTTCCTAATGCTATTACCTGGAGCCTTCAGCACGACCTTGTGACTGGCCGCCTGGGCAGGTCCGGGCAGTCGGGGGCAGCATTACCAGGCCCCCCCACAGGCCGGGCTCTGGTGGGCAGGCCCTTTTGCATTCCTTAACTCGCTGTGACAGAGCAGGGCAGCTTGATGGTGCGAGCTCAATGGCAAGGGTTGTGGAGACCCACCACATCCAGATTCAGGCTCCACCGCTGACCTTGAACTCGGTTACTCCCTCAGCCTTTCCTACCTGGAATACAGAAGCCCTGCCTCCCTCCCAGGTGGTGATGGGAGGTCAGGGCCGAGCACTCTGTGGTCTGTAGCTGGTTCCCTTCTGATCGCTCATCCTTAAGGGACTGTCCTCTACTCTTTTGCTACTTAGGGATCCCAAGAACTATTGCAGCTGCCCCTCTGCTGAAGGAGTTCAACCCAATTCACGAGCTCCCTATTCTCCAGCCCCATGGTGACCTCTGCCTGATCAATTCCCTTCTGAGGCATCCCCACTGCCACCTGCCCCTCAAATGAACCCCTTGCAAATCCAGCTCTGTTGGAGTGGTCAGACCGTTCCTCAGAATATCTGTATACTCAGCCCTGGCCGGTTTGGCTCAGCAGTTAGAGGGTCGACCCACAGACCAGAGTCACAAGTTCATTTCTGGTTAAGGGCATGTACCTCGGTTGTGGTTCATCCCCAGCCCTGGTTGGGGTTGCAGGAGAGGCAACCATTCGATGTTTCTCTCTCACGTCGATGTCTCTCTCTCTATCTTCTCTGTCTTTCACTCTGAAGATAAATGAAAAAAAATGTTGCCCTGGCCGGTTTGGCTCAGCGGTTAGAGCGTTGGCCTGCGGTCCTGAGAGACCCGGGTTCGGTTCCCACTAAGGGCATGTACCTCGGTTGCAGTTTGTCCCCGGCCCTGGTCGGTTGTGCGGGTGGCAGCCACTCGATGTGTCCCTTTCACATCGATGTTTCTCTCTCTCTCTCTCTCTCTGTTCCTCTCTCTCCCTCCCACTCTACCTGAACAAAAAATGGAAAAATTTCCTCGGGTGAGGATAAAAAAAAAAAAAATGTTTTCAGGTGAGGATTAAAATATATATATATATCTGTATACTCAGGTCATTTCCTTGAACCTCAACGTGGCCCACTCTTTGGAACACCTATTCAATGGACTTGGCTACAATGGCTGCCCCTCCCACCTTAACCTCTTTGTCCTCCATCTCCAACAATGACACCATGATCCCTCAGCCCCCCAAACAGAAACCTAGGAGACAGTGTTCTCTCCTTGTCTCCACATGTCACCAAGTCCAGCTCCTTCTCCTTCCTAAATGTGGTCCACATCCACCCCTGGTTTAGTTCAGGCCTTCATCGTCTCTTGCCGGAACTGTGGCCATAGGCTCCTCTCTGCTCTGTCCACATCTCCAGCCCCCCGCCCTCGCTTCTGCTGCTGCTATTACAGCCACTCACAGGGCAGCATAACAGCTCACTATTCTCCGACCCTGAGCTGCTTCATGCGCTGTTGCTTAGAATTCCCCTGACGACCCTAGGAGGTAGATTCTAAGATCCTCGTTTTATAGGATAGCAAACAAAGATTCAGAGAGGTTAAGTAACTTGCCTAAGTAGCAGGAACAGGATCCACTCAGCCAGAGCCAGCACCTTTAGCCAGGTGGTTTTGGTTCGAGGTTGCCCTCCCTTCAGTGGCCCGAGCCTGTTGACTTCTGGGTGGACAGAGGGACCCTGGGTCTGCAGCTGTCACATGTTTAATAAGGAAGTGGAATGCCGCATTCCTGGTAGGGAACCAACACCATGCTGGCTCATGGCATTAGTTGGAGTCAGGCTCTGCCATTTTCTGCTCTTTACCGAAAAAGTTCACCCTGAAGAAAGGAGGGTGTGTGTGTGTGTGTGTGTGTGTGTGTGTGTTTAATTCTTTCAAATTATACTATTCATGACAACAATGTTTTCCATTTTGAAGCCCCACAGAATTAATATTGTGCCACAAAGATCAATTGTGTCCATATCTGTAAGCTGCCAAAACAACCAGCTAAACATAAGTTCAGAAAACCAATTGTCTGATGCTTTCTTACTGATTAGATAACTGAGTTGGTATTGACCTAGCATGTTGTAATAAATCAAAGTTTACAAATTAACTGCAGGTACTTTATCCCACATGTAGAGGTCTGAGCAGGCACCATGATAAAAGGGAGATGAGCTTTAAAGCAGCTTCTTCTGCTGGTTCTTCTCACACACACCCCTTCCTCTCTCTCTTTCAGCTTCATCTCGCGTTAAAGATGTGTGATCAGACCTTTCTAGTTAATGTATTCGGCTCCTGTGACAAATGTTTCAAACAAAGGGCTCTGAGACCAGTTTTCAAGAAGTCTCAACAGCTCAGCTACTGTGCAGTATGTGCAGAAATTGTAAGTATTGTTTTTAAAAATGTAGTTACTTATCTTAAAACAATGTCTTATGTGAGGGTCCTAAGTTGCCATAGAATCAGCGCACACACACAGACAATTTCAGCACAGCCAGGGCGGGAAAGGCAGTATACCATGGGGGTTAGGGTGTGGACTCTGGTCTCTGCCTCCCTGGGTTCAATCCTAGATCTGTTCTTTGGCAACTGTGTACCCGTAAACTCACCTCTCACAAGAGGTCTGTTTTCCCATCCGTAAAATGGGAATAATAGCAGCCATGTCATAGTGCTTTCTGAGAATCAAATGAGTTCATTTGATAAAGTATTTAAAACAGTACCTAGCACAGGAAGTACCCAATGAATGTTTTAGTTAGTATTATTTTTTAGAGCTAAGGCTTTTTTCTTTTGTCTTCTAAATTGTCTTCTTGGCAAGCAACCAAATTAAAAGGGACACTGGCAATAAACAACTTGGGAGCACCTTTCCAAAGGCCTGTTAGGAAGAGCTCTGTTGGACACAGCCACTCAGGGCCACAGTTATGGGCAAAATTAAGCTGAGGGAAAGTGCTCCCTGCACCTAAGACCTAAGCCTTCAGCGGGGGCTAGGGACTGAACACAAATCCTGGCATTTTTCGAAGTACACAAAATCAGTCCTCATCAGAGGTGTCTATGTGCAGGTTTTATATTCAGATCTTTAATTGTGGAAGATCTATATTCATATTTTGCAGCAAAAGATGTCCACAGCATGTCTGAAGCCGTAGGCATTAGTCAGATCTCAGAGGATTTTCAAAGCTCTGCTCAGTAGCGTGGCTGAGTGGAGCCCCCATCTGGTCAAAAGTGGTAAAGCACTCTTCCCCAAAAGCCTAATAAGAAGTCTCCAATTAACACATTTTTAAAACACCCTTTATCAAAAAGAGAGAAAAGATGACTTTACATGTTATCTAACTAAAGAGAAAAAGGCAGGAGGCATCCTCCTGGTTTCATTGTAACTCCCGACAGTGATTAAAATGTTTTCCCATAAAGTAAATGGCACACAGGATGGCTCACAGGCTTTGGTACAGGCGTTAGTAACCCCGCATCACAGAGTTCAGGCTTAGTGTAATAGGCTTCTACATACAGCACACTATGTTCTAAACTTGGCTCTGCAAATTGTCAAACTGAGGACATTCAATTCCTAAAATAAGCCTGCTTTCTGGTGGCCATCCTACCACCCTGGAGCAGTGCTATTTATTCATCTGGCTCTTCTGGTTTTTAAACAACTTCCTCTGTGGACAGAAGGAGCCCAGAACCCCAGATGTCCCATAATCTGTAGCACCATAGATTCTTCCCAGGTCAGAGGCCCTGCCTGGAGATAGTCTGCTAGGGACTGTCTCCAGTAATCTGCATCACAAGCACTTGGGGTTCCCAAATATTCAGACAACCTCCTTTAGCTGAGGAGACATCCAAATGACTGACAGCTACCTTTTATCTGGGTGTTTGGGACTGTGTAGACACAGCCCCCAGTGGACCCTTTTCAATAAATAGGGGCCACCCCGAATCTTCACCACTGCGGACATGTAGCAGACCTCCAGCTTCTTCACTTAAAAAAAGCGGTGAACACCAAAGTACAGGAAAGCACTTTTCCAGCTATTAAAATGGTACATGGCCTCATTTCTGAGTGGTAGACTTTCCAGACTGGAAGATGTTTGGGGTTTCTTTTACAAAGAGGACCTCCAGAGGAGGGCACACTCCAGCGTAAAGTACTACCCACCCCAGGTCTTCACACACTGGCACTCACATATCCCGGCCTGGTCCAGGAGGTGCCAGCCTGAGAAGGTGATTGCAGGATCCTGCTTTGCCCAGACCTGAGATGACCTTGTGAGAAGTGTCCCCTAACCTAGCATCTCCTCAGTTAATTACTTCACGTGAACTGCCCCAGTGTGTCAGGCAGCCTTAATAACAACAACAAGCACATTGTGTGTGCCACGCATTGCTCCAAATGTTCCACATAGTCATTCCTGACGAGGACACTATGATGAAGGTGTCATCCCCCTTTCAGATGAGGAGCCTGAGACCACACAGCACAGCCAGGATTTGCCTCCCACCCAGTCTGATCTAGATAGAGCCTCTGCTCTTAACTTTTGCTCTGCAAACTCTTGAAACAGATCTATAAATAGCTGAATGTATCTAAAACATTTATATATTTTATATACTTGATTTATTTTAAATTACATTTTATATATTTTTTGTCTTAGACATCAATTTAATAAACTAACATTAGCCAAGCACAGTCATATTAATATGGATTACTTCCAACTTTTCTTAGAGAGGGCTCAAGAGAGCAAGTCAAGGCTGGATTCCTTAGGAAGGGAGGGGGTACCAAGAGGGCGGGGTTGGCACCCAGAGTGCGTTTGGCCATGTTTTGCTTTAGAATTTGTAACTTTGATCTGCCTTCCCAGTCTGTACTCAAACACACGCATGCAAGGTCACGGAGAGAAGAGGAAGAAGCCAGGGGTTGGGTCGTCCATACTGAGACCTGAGGCCTGTAACTAAATGGCGCCAGGCTGCCTGGGCCCAGATCTTGCCTTTGCCTTTCTGGGACTGTGAACCGAGCAAATCATTTAACCTTTCCTCGCCTCAGTGTTCTCATGTGTAAAGTGGGAATGATGATGGTACCCATTCAGGGTGGCTGTTGTGAGTTATTCCTCTAAAGCACTTGAACAGTGCCTGGCGCTGTAAGGGGCTGGAAAGAGGGGATGCTTGGGTCTGCCATCACGTCACTAAATCTGCCTCCTTGAGAGAACTGTAGGGACCTTTCATTCTAAAGTGGGGAAGCCGCCTGCGAAGCACCCGGTCTGAGAGCCCTGGGCACCAGCTCAGAAGCCGGCCTGGGCCCGCTGCCACGCCCCCTCCCTGCCTGGCACTTCATTCCCGAGTGAGGAAAGGAAAAGCAAAACCAGGAGCAGGCCTGCTCGGACCCCAGGGCTTCTCGGAAGCCAGAACTCGTTTTATTTTTGTTTATTCAAGTCAACGAACATGGGAAAGTTTCCGGCTGGCCGCGGGGGGCGCGGCACCAGGGCCACCGGCGATCTGGCCGGGTCGCAGCGGCGGGAGCCGGACCTCGTCGCCCTCTCCTCCCGTTTAGGGGAGATCTGTGCGGGGAAGGCGGGAGTGTCACTGGGAGTTCGCCAGACTCCCCGGAGCCGGGCAGTCCTGGTGTGGAATCCCCGCTAGGCCCTCTGCGTGCGCGGCCTCCAAGTCACATCTCGTCCCCGAGTCTCGGAGTTCTCACCGGTAACATGGGCACCAGACCCCCGGCTTCCCCGGGGCCGCGCGGCAGCGTTCAGGGGGCCTCTCCCGGCCACGGCGCAGGGCGCGCAGCAGGTGCCGCCCGGGCCGCGGCGAGGCGGGCGGGAGGCGTCGGCCCCCGCAGCCCAGCTCGCAGCCGCCGGCGTCAGCGCCGGAGGGCGGGGCCGCGCGGAGACGGGCTGGAGCTGCGCCCGCGGCCGCGCCGGCCTCCTCCGGCAGCTCACCCGCACCCCGGCTCTCCGCTTGCCTCCCCGCCGCGTCCCCGCACGAAGATGGCCACGGACGGGCTGCACGAGAACGAGACGCTGGCGTCGCTGAAGAGCGAGGCCGAAAGCCTCAAGGGCAAGCTGGAGGAGGAGCGGGCCAAGCTGCACGACGTGGAGCGTGAGTGCGGGCCCGGGGGCTGCGCGCTGGGAGGCGGGACGCAGCGACGAGGCCGGCTCCCGGGAGGAGGGTGCGGGCGGCCTGCTGTCGGGCCGGGATGCGGACCCCGGGCGGGATGCGGACCCCGGGCGGCCCGGCGCCAGGTGAAGGCGGGTGGCCGTGAGCCCCGGGCGCGCGGATGTGCGGCCCGAGCGGGGCGGTCTTTGGAGGCTCCGGGCACCTGGCAGAGCCCCCGCCCGCCTCTGGGCCGGGCGCCTGGTGGTAGCAGCCTCTGGCCTCCCGACGAAGGATCGTGGGACCAGTTACCATCGTCACCTGCCTGGAAGATGCAAACTGATCGCATCCCTGCCTTTCCCAGGGGGAGTAGGGTGGAGGGGTTGTCAGTGGGGGCTAGCTTGGCGAGCTCGTGGGGTGGCGGCCTAGAGTAAGCTCCTGTTTGGTTTTTTAAATATTTGCCTTCCTCCATCACTGTTGTGTCTTTTCTCAATTTTGCAGTTTTGCTTTTAGATGCAACCAGACTCTGATTTAAAAGCTCAGTTTTCCCCTCTCCACTCCTTGGGGTTGGAGAGCCAAATGGGAGAAGGAAAGTAGAGGAGCTTACCAAATCCAACCATTTAGTTCATTTGAGGCAGTTTTAAAAGCTTTGGGTAAATGGATGAGGTATGATTGGCATAAAAGACAATAGCAATCTTAAACTTACATAATTGACCACTACCACAAAACCTGCTCTGTTATTATTCTTTTTTTCCAAGTGAGCAATTGACTAGCAGGTGAAATGACTCTTGGCTGGATCAGCTAGCTTCCCTTTACTGTGTTCTATGGTTCATCCTCAGCAGAGCTTGGGCTCGTGGCCAAGCTTGGGGAAGTGGTCTTATCTGCTTACTTTTCGGCTCTGGGTGGCAGGTCCCCTTTGCCAAGCAAGACTTCCCCCCTGTGCCCTCAGACACACCTATACATTGTGCTCCTGCCATCCCTGTTTGCTACCATCCCCTTTAAGTTTCATTTGGAAAGAAAGATGGAGTTCATGTTAGGTCCTTTAGCACCTAATTCCTTTCTTTGAAAATTACTTGATAGAGGCAAGTGACCTGAATCTAGAGTGTGCTATGTTTTTGTAGGGGCCTGCTATCAATCACCCCGATGTCGTTCGTATCCAGCTACAATTAACTATAAACTCCTAATAAAGTGGTTAAGCAAATTGGTAGTTATTTTTCTTAACTAACAAGAAGAAGAGTGGGCAATCACCAGCTTTAGTTCAGCTGCCTAAGGTGCCATCAGGGATCCACGCTCCTGTCTTTCTTCACCACCCTGAGAAACAGGCGTTTGCCCCGTGACTATAATATCACTACCACAGCTCCAAACATCACCCCTGTGTCCAGGACAGGAAGAAGGGGGAGTGTGGTTACCAGTCTCTGTTTCTCCTTTTTATCAGGAAAGCAAAAGTTTTTCCCTAAATTTTCTTTCTTTTTAATAGATTTTTGTTTGCATGTCATTGGCCAGAACTAGGTCACATGGCTACTGCAGGGAGGCTGGGAAAGGGAGAACTGAACTGGGCACAGTGTCATCCTCAAACAGGTTTCTGTAATCAGGGGAGAAGCAAGGTATGGATATTGGGAGGCATGGGACAGAGTCTTCCTATTTCCCTTTGCAATTTCGTACACTCTATAGATAACGACGATGCTGTGAGCTTAGTATTATCTGAGGTCAGTCTGATTTCTTCATTTTACAGATGAGGAAACGGAGGCACAGAGAAGTGAAAGGACTTGCAGAAAGACCCCAGCTAAAAAGTGGTAGGATGGGGCCCAGGCTGGTGTGGCTCAGCGGATTGGAGCATCATTCAGTGCACCAAAAGGTGTCAGTTTTGATTCCCAGTCAGGTTACATGCCCAGATTGCACGTTGGAGGATTGGGGAACTTGTGGGAGGCAACTGATATTTCTCTCTGCCATCCTTCCTCTCTCCCGCCCTCTCTCTAAAATCAATTTTTTTTTTTAAGTGGTGGGATCAGGATTCCAGCGCAGGCAGTCAGAGCTCCAGCCCAGCCTCACTTCAGCTTTTTTGCTGAACCTCTGAGCTTGGTGCAGAGCGGCTCCCCAGAAACTTACTCCACAGTGCAGGATGCCCACTGGAATATTTTCAGCCTTCTCTGTGAATTTGTAAATTGCCTTAAGGCAGAGAGATAGTCAAGATTCAGCTTTCAACAGGGAACCCCTGTCCTGCCAAGGATGCAATGCCCTCAGAGGTCTGGACCCAGTTGGCACAGTGCAAGGAGCTATCCTCACCTGTCTATAGGTCAGAAGTTTTTAGTTGAAAAGACTAGAAGCCTGTGGTCATATTTCCCTTTATGCCCCCTGCAGCTTCCAGACCACTTCTCAACTCCTGTATGAAACCCTGGCTCCTCCCAGCTCCTGTCACTCTACTGTGCCCCCGCCCTTACCTCCTCCCCCTGCTGCTGTCCTCTGACCTCCCAGATGGCCTCCTGCATTTCTTAAGGACTTTGGCACATGGCTGAGCCTTCGTTTTGACCCTAACTCTGCCCTACTTGGTGTGTTCAGGTGACCCTCCTAACTCGATGGCCCCTCACTCTGTTACAGCCCCGGGGATCTCATTAGCGATCAGAACTGCTCTTTCTCTTCCGACCACAGCCTCTCCCCACGGAGACCATGATCTGGGATCACTGGATTCTTCTCTCTTCCAGTCTCTCAGCCCTTTCTCCTACCTTTTTCTATAGTTGTTATATAGCTGACCTGTGGCCCTTACCCTAGTTGGGGAAACCTCTTTAGGCCATCAACTTAAAGTGACCAAGTCACCTGAGACTCTTGGTTGTAAAATGGAAAGTCCTGCACCCTAAACCTTTCAGTCCTGGGCAAATGGGGGCATTTGGCCAGCCTTCTGTTAGCTCGGACTTGCCCATATTTTTGGCTTAAAGAAGTTAACACAACAAAATTGTAGAACATAAACTTGGAGGAAGAGTGAAATTTTCCTAATTCCAGGTTCTCATATCTTCACCTCTCATCCCTTTGACCCTCAGACAGTAGCCATTCTGTTGGGCCCTCATCCCCAAGTCAGACCCTCAGTCAGCATTACATGTGGGAATTGGCTTATGTGGGTGGTCTAAGGGGAAGCCAGCCTATCTCACACTCCACAGCCGGGGGCCCATGCCCCCATCCCTGCCTTTCCTGATATTTCTCCAGAGCATCCTGCCCTGGATGTTTTTCCTTGTCCCTTCTGCTTGCCTTCTGCCATTGGTAAGTGCTTTCTTGCTTGAGTCTAAAGCATTTTAGAATAATGAGATTACAGTTTGCATTCATTTCTTATTGCTGTTGTACCTATTACCACAAACATAGTGGCTTAAAGCTACATAAATTTATTCTGTGCAGTTCTGGAGATCAGATGTCTAAAAGGGCTGGCACGGCTACATTCCTTCCGGGGGCTGTAGGGGAGAATCCATCCTTTGCCTTTTCCAGCCTCTAGAGGCCATCCACACTCGTTGGCTCCACATCACCCTAACCTCATTTCTGTCATCACATCTTCTTTGACTTTGATTCTCCCTCTTATGAGGACCCTTGTAATTACATTGGGCCCACCTGTGTAACCCAAGATCATCTTTCCATCTCAAGATCCTTAGCTTACAGTTTCTGCAAAAGTCCTTTTTGCCATATAATGTCACATATTCACAGGGTCCAGGGATTAGGATGTGGACACCTTTGGAGGACCTGTTACACAGGTCTTAAAATTAGAGGGATCAGCCCTGACGGGTTTTTCTCAGTGGTTAGAGCATCAGCCTGCAGACTGAAGGGTTGGGGGTTTGATTCCCCATCAAGGCACATACCTGGGTTGCAGGTTTGATCCCTGATGCAGGAGGCAACCAATAATGTGTCTCTCTCACATTGATGTTTCTCTCTCTCTCCCTCACCTCCCCCTCTCTCCCTCACCCTCCCTCCCTCTTTCCCTTCCACTTTTTATAAAAATCAATGGAAAAATATCCTTGGGTAAGGATTAACAACAACAAAAAAATTAGAGGGATCACCTGCTTCAGCCTTTTTGTCTTCAGGCACAGAACGTTTTCCTTCTCCCAACAACTCCATCCATTTCTTTCTTTTCTTGTTTCTTTTTTTTAAAATTTTTTTTTGTTTTATTCTGAGCCAAGGATATTTTTCCATTTTTTATTCAGATAGAGTGGGAAGTAGAAAGAGGAAGAGAGAGAGAGAGAGAAACATTGATGTGAAAGGGATACATCGAGTGGCTGCCACCCGCACCACCCAACCAGGGCCAGGGACAAACTGCAACCGAGGTACGCGCCCTTAGTGGGAACCAAACCCGGGTCTCTCTGGACTGCAGGCCAACGCTCTAACCGCTGAGCCAAACCGACCAGGCTTTTTTTTTTTTAATTTTTATCCTCACCTGAGGATATGTGTGTTGATGTGAGAGAAAGAGAGAGAGACATTGGTGGCCTCCCATACATGCCCTGACTGGGGATCAAACCCGAAGCCTTCTGTTGTACAGGACAATGCTCCAACCAACTGAGCCACCCAACCAGGGCCAACCCCATTCCTTTCTTTATGGAGGAGGCTGGAATACAGGATAGGTTGTGGGGACTTCCCTAAGGTTATGCAGCTACTCTAAGACGAATGGGAAGCAGGCACCAGGGTTCAGGCTCCTAGTCCAGCTCTCCTTCTCACCAGGCCAGGCCATCTCGGAAAGTTGAGATTTACATTAAAAAGGGGGGAAAAAAGTAGATTCGTGTGTGTGTGTGTGTGTGTGTGTGTGTGTGTGTGTGTATGAAAAGGTATCAGTATTGCAGAGGGGAAGCCAAGTGCAGAACAGTGTGTATACATGATCTTTTTTTAGTTTAATCAAGAGGTGCTTGCATATGCGTTCAGTTTGTGGCAGAGTACACAAGAAACTTGTCTCTAGAGAGGGGCCCAGGGGAGTGGGGAAGTAGAGATACTTTTCACTTTATACCCATCTGTGAATTTACTCCTTTTATAATAAAAAAATGAGT